TACAGTTCCCTGAGCCTTCTCACGTGCCCTTCCAACATTTGCCGTCCGGCTAAATATTCTCAGCAAAGAGAACTTCAAGGACAGCAACTCGACGTGGCTCGAGGTAATCACTTCAAGTCTTCGAGAAGAGATCTTCAAAGCCTGCCACGACGACGCGACATCTGGTCACCTGGGCTGCCATAGAACACTTCCACGGATTTGAGAAACATACTACTGGCCAGAGCTCTCAAAGACTGTCCACCGCGAATGCCAATGACGCAAGAAGCTGCGACGAAGCCAGCAGGACTCCTGCAGTCGATCTCTAACCCGACGACGCCGTTCCAGAAGATCGGAATGGACTTGCTTCGACCGTTCCCACCATCGGCGCAAGTAACTCGATATATCACGCGTCGCGAACGATTACATCACCAAGTACGCCGAGACAAAAGCGCTCCATTCGGGAACCGCTGTGGTGGTAGCCAAGTCCTTCGTCGAGGCCATTAGCCTCAGGCGCGGTGCCCCGAAGTACAGATTACAGACCGAGGGTCGTTGTTTTTGGCCCAGTTGACTCAGGAGATCCTCCGGCTCAGCCACACAAGCCATCGTCGAAAAACGGCGTACCATCCGCAGACGAACGGGCTGACAGAACGGCTAAACAAGACCACAGCCGACATGATTGCCATGTACGTCGACGTGGAGCACAAGACGTAGGACGAGGTCTTACCCCACGTCAGGTTTGCGTACAACACGGCAGTTCAAGAGACCGCTGAAGTTACACCTTTCCAGCTGGTACATGGTCGGAAAGTAAGGACCATGCTGTACTCGCTGCTGTCCCACGAACCAGCTCACGATTGGAGCGACGACGCCCAGGTAGTTGCTCAACGAACCGAAGAAGTCTGCCAGCTCGCCAGACTCCGGATTCGAGACCAGCAGCGTGTCGACGCTGGCTGCTACAAGCTTGCCGTCGAGACGCTCACTTCCAGCCCGGAGATAGGGTGTGGGCGTGGACAGAAGTTCCTCGCCGCGGACTTAGCGAAAAACCGTTGAAACGGTACCTCGGAACGCACGAGGTACTTCGTCGCCTCGGGGAGCTGAACAACGAAGTGGTGCCCGACGAAATACAAACATCATCACGACGCCGACGACGACCCGACGGGGTTCACGTTGTTAGACTGAGGCCGTTCGACGCTCGGTAGCGCTGAGGATTTCGTGTTCCAGAGGACGTTTATAACTTGCCATCGCTTTGTTTTGTTTCGTTTTGCAGTGGGACGATGTGCTTTTAAAGGGGGAGTAATGCCGCGAACATGATCGAGAAGATACGCTTCTCCGTTCTTCTAGAAGGTTTGCGTATACCCTTAAGCCTGTTCCACATGCAGCGACTGTTGCGATAAAATCGGTGCGACAGCCGACGCAGCGAATGTGATCGCAATGTTTGGTATCACAAGCTCCAACAACCGCGCGATTTCTGTCGGCGCGGCCGGCTGTTCGGACACGGACGCGGCGCATTTGACTTTACCTAAAATACAACAGAAATGTCTTAATAAATCCAAATGTTTTAGGAATACAATATGTAACTAGACATCTTTAGTAATTAAACATTAAACCAAAACTCTTAAGGTGCCTGAATTTATTTTCGAATACGCAACTATCGCGGATGAAAGCTGACTACTAAACGGCTGGTCGAAGATGAAGTGCTTGCACCGAATCTGCGACAAAATACCAACTTGGTGGAACCCAGTCGCAGAGCCGCTGCGACAGTGCGACTGCGATTTTAATCGCACATTTACTGGAAATCGCACCGATTTCGGACGATCGCAGCATGTGGAACAGCCTTTACCCCGAAAGTAAACGATGAGGGTGCCGAATTCCCTTGCCTAGTCAGTCTGCCCTAGCCCTTTTCCGAACATTCTAGGTAGAATATTCGAGACGACGAGCATAATAGATAAAGAGCCTAGCGCCGTATTGCCCATTCATTCCCCGATTCTCTCTCGCGATAGCCAGCTGTTACGCCGACTTACCATCGCCTTCTGCTGCCGCCGTCGACGTTAGCTGCTGCTTTCTCGGCGTCTGTTCTCTTCTTCGTTTCTGCACAACTTCGCCCACCCCCCCCCCCCCCCAAATAAACCTTAAGTTCTTCACTTTTCGCCTGCCTCATTGTCTGTAACTCGTGACATCCGGCTGACACAGAACTTTTGTTTTTAGAGCGTAGCTCTTAGGCGCCTGTTTCCGGCTTGAGCGGCGTCGGCGTCGGCATCGCCGTCGGCGTGGCCGTCGGCATAACCGCGCGGTGCATTTTGGGACACGTGACGTCACTGATGACGTCATCGGCATTGTCATCGTCACTGATGACGTCATCAGTGACGTCAAGTATGACATCATCGGCATCCGCATCTTCATCGTCACTTATGACGTCATCAGTGGCGTCACTGATGATGTCATCGTCATCCGCATCGTCATCATCATCGTCACTGATGACGTCATCAGTGATGTCGCTGATGACGTCATCAGCATCCGCATCGTCATCGTCACTGATGACGTCACAAGTGGTGATAACGTCACCAGTGACGTCACTGGTTGCGTCACTGATGACTTTATCGTCATTGTCACGTGACCTCATTGGGGTCACGTGACCCCCGTGATGTCACGTGATCCCGGTGACGTCACGTGACCCCTTGAGGTCACGTGATCCTCGTGAGGCGACGGCGACGCCGCTCAGAGGGAGGAGTAGCAGACAGGATGAGGAGGTGAGGAGGAGGTAGGAAAGATATACCTTCCCCTCAGTACCCTTCCCCTCCTCCTCCTCAAGAGCTGTGCTCTAATTTGGCATTACAGGCAGTTTAAAACGGCTTTCATTTTTTTAGACTGCAGCTCTTAGGGGCCGGTTCCCGGTTTGAGCGGCGTCGGCGTCGGCGTAACCAAGGTCACCCCAATGTCACGCGACCCCCAAGGTCATCCCAAGGTCACGCGACCCCCAAGGTCACGTGAACCCCCGGAGGTCACGTGACCTTTCTTTCAGGGTCACGTGACCACCAAGGCCACGTGACACCCAAAGTCGTGTGACCCCCCCGAGGTCACATGACCCCCCAAGGTCATCCCAAGGTCACGTTACCCTCAGAGGTCACGCGACCCCTCCCCCAGGGTCACGTGACCCCCGAGGTCACGTGACCCCCCCCCGGAGGTCATGTGACCCCCCCGGTCACGTGACACCCCCTCGAGGTCACGTGACCACCCCCCAGGGTCACGTGACCCCCCGCCAAGGTCACGTGACCTCCCCGATGACGTCACCGGCATCCGCATCGTCATCGTCATCATCACTGATGACGCCATCAGTGACGTCACTGATGACCTCACCGGCATCCGCATCGTCATCGTCATCATCACTGATGACGTCATCAGTGACGTCACTGATGACGTCACCGGCATCCGCATCGTCATCGTCATCATCACGGATGACGTCATCAGGGACGTCACTAATGACGTCACCGCCATCCGGATCGTCATCGTCATCATCGCTGATGACGTCATCGGAGTCCGCATCGTCATTGTCACTGATGACGTCATCAGTGACGTCACTGATGACATCATCGGCATTGTCACGTGACCTCTCAAGGTCACGTGACCCCCCTTCCCCCCGGTCACTTCACCCTCCCCCCCAGCACCCTTCCCTCTTCCTCAAGAGCTGCGCTCTAATTCGGTGTTGGAGTTGTAAACGGGAGTTGTAAACGGCTTCCACCTTTTAGAGCGCAGCTCTTAGGGGCCCGTTCCCGGCTTGAGCGGCGTCGCCGTCGCCGTCGGCGTCGGCGTCGCCGTCGGCGTAACCAAGGTCATCCCAAGGTCACGTGACCCCTCCAGGTCACGCGACCCCTCCCAAGGTCATCTCAAGGTCACGTGACCCCACGTGACCCCCAAGGTCACGTGACCTTGGGGGTCACGTGGGGTCATCTTGGGATCACGTGACCCCTCCCAAGGTCATCTCAGGGTCACTTGACCCCAAGACCCCACGTGACCCTTTGAAGGTCACGTGACCCCCAAGTCACGTCACCCCTCGGAGGTCACGTGACCCCCGAGGTCACGTGACCCGCAAGGTCACGTGACCCTCCCAAGGTCATCTCAAGGTCACGTGACCCCAAGGTGACCCCCACGTGACCCCCCGTCACGTGACTACTCTGAGGTCACGTGACGCCTCCAGGTCACGTGATCCCCTGAGGTCACGTGGGGGTCACCTTGGGGGTCACGTGACCTTGAGGTGACCCCATGTGACACCCAAGGTCACGTGACTCCCAGGTCACGCCTCCCCGAGGTCACGTGACCCCCCCTCCCCGAAGTCACGTGACACCCCCCCCCCCCCCGAGGTCACGTGACCCCCCCCCGGAGCATATTAAAGAATGAGGGGAGGAGGAGGAGAAGGAGGAGGGGTCTACCCTCCCCTCAGTACCCTTCACTCCTCCTCCTCAAGAGCTGCGCTCCAATTCGGCGTTACAGGGAGTTGTAAACGGCTTTCCTTTTTTTATCCGGCTGACAATGCACTTTTGTGTTTGAAGACCAACGCATGCAGCGCCAGGATGTTTTTAAGTCGTGAAACTTGGCGCCTGATTTAGCAGATTCCAAAGCCTTTTGGTTGAGTGTATACTTTTAAACCAGTTTGAGCTTTTGAACAATCTCTACTTTTGTAGCGTGGGCTACGCTGGCCGAGGTTGAGCAGTTTCGCGTGGCTCCCAAAGAGCCGTGTTGCGCAAGCGCGACGAGCAGTGACGTCACACGGCGCACAGCTGGCGCGCCGGAGCCGCCGTTGCCGCGCCCGACTCTCCGGTCTGCGCATTAGAGAGGCGTGACGTCATAGCCGCGGCAGACGCACTGGGGCCACCGCGTGCCCAGCTGTGCGCCTCCGTTGCACAGTAGCCAAGTCTGACGCAGCACCGGAGCCGCTTGATTGCGCCTCTCATTTTGGGCGCATAAGCTCACGCTACGTATATCCTGGCATAGCCGAGCTAAGCCGCCGTAATTTTTTTCATCTCCTTCAGGGTACCTTCCTGGTCACTCAAGCCGCCGCTCGTGCCATGATTGCGGGGAAAGTCAATAACTGCGCTATCGTGAACATGGCAAGCATGGTGGCCAAGGAAATCTGCCCAAATATGAGCGTGTATTCCGCCGCCAAAGCCGGAGTGGTGGCCCTCACCAGAGTGGCCGCTACAGAACTGGCCGTCCACGGCATTCGGGTGAATGTCGTCCTGCCGGAAGTGGTGGACACACCGATGATTGCCCACGAATTCACTGCCGAGGAAATAGCGGGGATCGTAGCCAATCAGCCTCTCGGGAGACTCTGTCGTCCGGAGGAAGTGGCTGAGACGGTCAAGTTCCTTTGCGGCCCCGGCAGTTCGTGCACCAGTGGTGTTGCTGTTGACGTCACCTACTGTTTCTACAAAAATAGTAGGCGCAAATGAAGGATATGTCTTCGTTTCATGATCCATGAGGAGCTTGGCCTAAGTCGCTCTTGTGGCTTTGGCGGCAGTCTCAGATTAAAACCATAGTCACACAGGTCACACTCTTCATACATCATACACAATAAATCGTAGTGGCTGCAGAAATGATGGTAAAATTACCCCTGGACACTGCATTTTCAAAGCTTTTTTGCTTTATACAATTTTGTAGTTCTAACATGTCTGCAGACAGTTCCTGTATGACCAATATGACTGGTCCATCATAAGAGGAAGACCTCAAACAGGGTCTGCCGGCTGTCTTTTGTATAATTTGTTAGCAGTGTGACGGAAGCTTAAAGGTGAACGGAGTAAAAATACTCAGTCAAAACTGAAAAAAAGTTTATCGTGCGTTTTGAATTTTCCGGAGTAATTCGTAGCATTATACCAAAGTATAGTGGCCGCACTCGATGAAAGAGACATAGCCGTCTGCTCGTTTGTGCGCCGTTGTTGACTAAATTAATTGTAGGCGTGTTACGCTGCAAAATTGGTAGGCAATGAACCAGTCTCACCGGCCAGTTTGGCTACGCCACCGCAGCCACAAAACGTCAGGGGAACTATAGTTTTGTGCACGCACGTAAACAACGTCGCTTACGCTCTGCGCCCGTTTTTGCAACCGAGAAGTTCTCCCGGAGCCGAACTCGACAGCAGCCAGGACGCCAAGGCAGGAAGCAGGAAAGTTGGGACCGGGAGTTGGTTTCTCTCGATTATCTCTGTTTATTTACATAGTTCACGTATGTACAGTCGAAACAAGAGAGCACACGTGCAGGTCTCGCGTTGCTCCTTTTTAAGGGTCTTGTTTCCCCTGTTGATAGCGATGTGCTTCCCGCAGCGGGTCCGGAGCCAATGCCGAGTAAAAGATCCACCGGGCTCCTGCCTCCCCCTTCCCATTTCACGCGAGCACGGACACCACATGTCAGACACTCACTCGACGAGGTCATTCGCGTTAATTCCACAGGCTGGCGCCGTAGGACCTAGAAGTGGCTGACCGTTCCACCTGGCCATACAAAGCGACATGGTCGTGCGAGTCGGGAAGGGCGGAAGGATGGTCCGACTTCCATGCATTGTCCACGTGCCCCTGGGGGTAATACTCTCGGCGTGGTATTCCGGAGATAGAGCTCCTATGGTCCCTACATTAGGCGGCGTCTGCCGACCCAACGGCGGGGACGAGCGCTTGGTAACGTTGGCAGCTGCCCGCGCGAAGGTCAATCACAAAAGCTCCTCCGCCGCCAATAAGCTCATCAGGAAGGGGAGCATTCCATAACTGCTCGCTGACTCGATGAGACCTTTGCAATTCTCGAAGACGATCCGGTTTTCGTCACCAGCTTGGTCGTTCGGGCAATGGCTGGTACCCAAGACCTCCGCCGAAAAGGGGGGGGGGGGGGGGGGGGGGGGAGGGAGATCTTAAAGGGACACTGACAGGGTATTTATGCTCGCCGAGGTTTTTAGTTGTACGTGACATATGAGAGCTCAACTACCCAGAACAGAATTTGCGGCTCGAAATTCGTTTTTTTTTTCGCCCGAAAACCGCCGATCAAGAACTGGCCGGTTCGACTCGCTCACTCTCTTTTTCGCGGTCACGGGCCGTTTTCTAAGGTATCGATGCGACCACCAAATTTAATCAAAGTCGTGGGTCACTGAAAGCACACACTCAATATTAAAAATAAAAAAAAAAATATGAAACCCATTTTTTGTGGCTTCTAAAAAGCTGTAAATACGTTGATTGAAAAAAAAAAAGTTCCACAGACAACCGGAAGCATTCTGTGCGTTCGTCGTTTCGCGTATCGTGGGACTCGCGGGGACGGCGATGGTAGCGGACGACGGGCGTGGGACCTCTATTTCAGAACTGTCGTTCGCGGGACCGGCGAATTCTGTCTACCGTTAAAAGAGAAATTTGGGACTGATCAAAAGAATCGGTATTCATCCCGTACGACACGCCCGGCCACCAAGCCGATTTGCACGAAGACGTCGCCGAGCCGTCGCTCCCTTCTCGTGGCTGAAGACATCGCTCGCGCAAACGTCAAGCACGACGTGTCTACTTCGAGTTGAATATGCACGCGTACGATTTCTTTACTAGGTGCGAATGTCCCCAAAGCGTGGTGCTTCCCGACTTCGACCCGGGAGTGCTTTTGCTAGAAAAAAATGGACAGCAAACTTTCCAACTTATAGTTTACCGGCTGAATTGTTACTAGGGAAAGAGATCCAGTAGAAGAGGAATGCCCCAGTAGCTCAGTGGGAAAGACGTCCGGTTCACACGCGGTAGAACCGGGTTGGATCCCACGTGAAACATTATTTTTTTTTCAAACATTTTGTGATGTTTACATATCTTTTTCATTTTTTTAGAATCATCACTGAAGAAACAAGCAAAAAAATAACAAACAAATGTTGTGGACGATACTGCGCTGAATTAAATGGTATGGGATTTCCGTTTTGACACTTGCGAATTCAATGTAATCACTTTCCACAAAATGCAAGGAGCAGGTAGCGTTCGCTTTCCGAGGTGCCCGTATATGTTCTACAGGAATTGCAGCCAGCCATTGGTCCCGATCCCGTTGATCTTTCGGAAACTCTGTCGCACAATGCCACTTTTTTTCGGATGCAGGACATGCGAGCCAGCTCTTCACGCAACATCTTAAGTGTATTCTTTTCGAAGCCGATCATGGAAATTCACCACGGGCACTCACTACTTATCTCCAAATCCTCAATGTACAGAATAACTCATCTTGGAGTAAAAAACAACGAGCGGAACAAACATAACTGCAAAAGAATCGCACGGGGAGCAGTTCCCGCACGCCGCATCGCACGCCGGATGTCGCGTCGTCTGCTACCGGGAAGGAGAAAAAAAAAAAAAAAAAAAAACGCACGGTGGGGTGATGTTACGTGACTTCCGCCACTCACGCTCTTCTCTCCACTTCTCCGACCGCCATCGGGTTTCGGTTTCGGTTTCGAGCAGTTGCGCCTTTTGACTTTATTAAAAAAATACGCTACTCTGTTGCAAAATATTAATTGGGTAGTCCTCCGACACCATAATAAAGCGCCTGGCAAAAAATAAAAAAATTTTTTTGGGGGTGTCAGTGTCCCTTTAAAGGGGTACTCCACCGATTTTTTGAGCTACCTTAACTAGCTATATTTTCTGACTCCCCGGCCTTTACTCTCTCCGGTATGCTATTTAGAATTGCGAAATTCATAATAGGTATTGTGAAATCGGCAAATGAAAATGATGCAAAAACTAACATTCAAATATACGCGCACTTTTCAGTGCCGTGACGTTAGTGGCAGGCAAGCTTGCCAGTCGAGCAAGCAGCCAAAAAATAGAATATGCCAATCATTTGTTTCGTGCTGGAGCGCGGGTACTGCAGCGAGCTTCCCAAGCATTCATTTGACACCATGAAACTGCTTTGAATCAGTTTAAAACAAAATCTACAGCCCAAAGAGTGAACCCCTGCCTTCCACTGACGTCACTTTTTTATTGTTGCTAGTAGAGACTTCGAGCTTGAAAAACACGGTGAGGACCAAAACTATAAAATCAATAACTTTGCAAAAAAAACAACAATATTTTGACCTAATGGTTGGGATACTATTTTCACGATGTTTGTGGGTTAGTTTAGCAAAAGTTCAAGCAAATCGGAGACAATGAAAAAACCAGTGGAGTACCCCTTTAAGTCAAGTCACACCATGAAAAACATTGGCGATACGAACTCAGCCAGCCATGATCCAGCGCCAATGAGCGCTCCGCGTCTTTCGCCCGATCTACCAGACCAAAGCAGATATATCCCTCAGCTTAAATAATACTTCCCCTAACCTGGCACACAAGCTCAGGAGGTCACAAGTTAGGCGCAGTACAATACATGCCTTAAAACAGTCATGAAAGACAAAACATTATTACGTTAGCGCGTCCACTAAAACCATCAGAAAGTCAAACAAGTGTACAAAAAACACATGACATTTTTTTTTTCGAGCGATTATGAACTTTTGAACACTAGAAGCTCCAACTTAGGCCATCAGGGTTTTTTAGTTAGCTTTCTTTCTTTGTACTTCATTTCAAGTGCGTGCTGTTGGAGAGCGAGGCTCCATTGCATCAGGCGGCCATTTTTGGTGACATATTTCCGCGACAAACTTTGTCCCGGCTAAGTAACAGGATAGCTTCTGCACTGCCCAGACAGGACAGGCGCACTCTTTCTCTGAGGTACTGTAAGCCTCTTCACGGACTGTGAGTTTACGGCTAATGCAGAGGATAGGTCGCTCGTTTTCCTGCTCGTCTGTCTGCGACAAAAGAGCGCCGATCCCTTCCTTACTGGCGTCATATTGCACAACAACATTCATGTTATAATTCGGTACCGTTAACATTGGCTTTTGAAATAAAGCTGCCTTCAATGCCCGAAAGGCTGCTGCTTTAGCGTCATCCCAGATCACGTTTTGTGTATCGTTCTTCCGGAGAGCGTCTGTCGAAGGAGTCGCTCTATGAAAGAAGTTATGGATGTAGTGCTGGTAATATCCAGCGATGCCCAGAAATTCCCAGATATCCCTTTTAGTAATCGCTTGTCGGAACTCCAGTACGACAGATATCTTGATTTCGGAAGGGCGTCGACAACCCTGGCTGATAACATGCCCCAAGTAATGAACTTCCGCCTTCCCGAGTTGACATTTCTCAGTTTCAACGGTGAGACCGACCTTCCGCAAAGTCTCGTTAGCACCTTGCGTAGGTGATTGACATGTTCTTCCCAACTTCCGGAGAATACCGCAGTGTCGTCTAGATAAGTATGAAGGTCAACGTAAATGACAACCATAAGTCCAAAGGCGCGATATACGCAGGGTTTCGGTTTCGTCTTTCTTTTCGTTCAGTGATGACTTTAAAGTGATTGACGCGGCTGTGGCTTGTGCGGAGGAAAGAAAAAGAAGTGGTCAATGTCGAGGTTGTTCTTGACAACGGCTCCTTGATTTTCTGGCAAGTTTGGAGACTGCATCCT